ACCTCCATAATACGAATTTCGGCTTCCAGAAAAGAGACGTGATTCATCTTCATTGATATATTTAGAAAAACGGCGGTGAAAAAACAAATTGCGAGGCCGGATTGCCTAAAGCGGAAACTCGTTGTTATCACTTCGGCACGTCTTCGCATTAGACGAAGTAGGGCACGATTACATGAACGCAAGCTGCTTCGTTGATCAAAAATAATGCGACAAATAGCGGTAAAGGAATTAATCATAGCGGAGCTCCATAGCTAAGGAAATGTGGTAATGTACCCATTCGAGAAAATTTGATAATCACGTGACCGTGCGCCCGACCGTCCGTCCGCACCACAGGCAAACCAATGTTAAATAACTCAATCACCAGGTATGGCAACTCAAATGCAGCTCGAGGTTTTTTTGGCGGGAAATCGCATAGCCACCCGCGTCTAGTAAAGAAAAGGCAGCTAAAGACTCAATAAAGACGAAACCGGAAAGGGGAAGAAAGCGAAAATTGTTTCTGTATCCGCGTTTTCTAAAAGTATTAAGCTTAGATTAATTGTCATGTCCAAAAAATTTGGAATATAGAACAAGAGAAAGACAGAGAAAAAGCGATGGGCCAGCGAAACTCAACGAGAAAAAAGGGCGACAGAGATCTAGAGCGAGAGATAAAAACAAAGGAGACATTTTTTTGTTGGAAGAACAACATCAACATGAACATTTTGTGGCGGCGGTGACAATGCTAACGGCCAACACTGCAATGAGAAAATGAGCAGCAGTGAAAAAAATATGAACAAGAACACTTACGGCATTGCCTCCATAAAAACGTTTCTGGAAGTTTCACGTTCTAGTCGTGCAAAACAACGGCAAAGAAATGTACAAAAAAAGTGTGCTGCACGTGCAAAGTTGCTTTTTTGCTAATTAGACCTATTGCTGTTTTTTCACCGTTCTCCAGCGTTGCCTTCGCCGCTTAGCCATACACGATTTTATATTTTGTTTGAACAAACTATAAATATTATCGACAGCTTCGCTTTTAGCCCTAGCTAAATCTATATATTATGCAAATAAAAGTCTAACAAGATCTTTGGCGTAGGTGCAACGGTTACTCTAGAGGATTCATAGATTCCGCGGATTCAGGATTCCAGAGTTATTACGTAGAGGGAATTCGGATCATTTCGCGAGCGTTCATACTGTAAAAACGCATTCGGATTCCCAATAGTTTACTGACATCGATAAATATATATCTAGGGTGGCTTTAGCAAAGACGACGGCGATGGCAACGAGAACAACGTTAAAAAGCAGTAAGTATTAAAAAGTTAAACAACAAATTTTGTTGGTACATTTCTTTGCCTTCCCGTTATTTCTAACCCTCAGCCCCCTTATTCGAAATATTTCCTAGCTGGTCCCCTTACAACTTCGAATCAACGGATTTCAACGGTACTCAATAAGATATTGATTTAGCCAACGTTTATATAGTTATAATAAAAGCAATCAAATTTAAACGAATAACATGAACTCTAAGCAGCAAAAAAGAAATCTTCAAATCGCTATTAAATGAACTTTAGCAGGCTTCGTAATCGGTTTACTTTTAAGAAAAAATTTTTCGCTAACACACCTGAAATGAAAAAACTCTCCCAGCAAGCTAAAAGCCGCATATTTACGGAAACAAATAACTATGCATCAAGTTCGATCGCAGAAGTAGAATTCTTCCCAACTGCGTATATGTTGTGGTTCTATTTTATCCTTGGTTTAAATTTTTTCCTTTCGTTTTGGTTTAAGTTAATGTATGATAATAAGTTTAAAACAAAGGAAAATACAATTTAAACCAAGGACTGAACTGAACCACATATACATCATCAAACGCCCCACCCCTCTCCCTCCACCACACCCCATTGCGAATGATTACAGTTCTATTTAGGAGCAGCAATTTGCAGGTTATATGATTTCTAGGGTAGGTATTTCTGTCTCTAAGGGAAGACCTAAAAGAAAAATCAGGCCGACTTCGAGGGACGTTTGTGTTCCGGTAAGCCCATCATGTATTTTTTCACGGGCTCGGACGAACAGTTGTGTGTAGCCTTTAAATTTATACCTCACTATATCTGATAGAAAGTGTTACCACAAAGTGCTTATTTTCTTTAAGAACGCACATAGGAAAGCAAACGATAACCTTTTTCGCTTCTTAATGACTTCTATTCAATCTTTAAACTACACGAACCGTGCGGTACGTGTTCACGTCTTGTATTGTGCAGTGACGTCATGTTGAGAAACGTGTGATAGAATTATAAAAGTTGCAATAACTTACACCTTAAAAAAAAAAAGACATACTCGGGCTCGAGAAGCCGACGAGTCCTCTGTCGGCAGCAGAAAGGAGAACTCTTTCATATTTTAGACAAGCTTAAGGTTACTTTTTTCATAATTGAGAATTGAAAAAAATTTAGAATTGAGAATTCAGAATTGGGAATTGAACAAACGCATAAACTTCATTCCAGTGGTATTCAGCTGTATTCAGGGCACGAGTTATGGAAAAAAGAAAAGAACACTGCAAATTTCTTGAATGGCAACAATGAATAAGTCGAAAGAAAATAACTAGCAATTCAATGCAACATGTACAAAAACAACAGAAAGTCGAGTAGCCTGTCAACACTGTTTCTAAAAATCTTACGATCTGAACGATCGTGTTTTTGAGCTGATGTTATGAATGAACAATGACAGATAAATAACTTAATTTCTTGAAAAAATTATCAAAAACCCACAAGTTAATACTTAAAAGCAGTTAGCAGAACACTGACTGAATCATGGATCCGTTCACACAAGTTAAATCGGCTGAACACATGGCAAAATTTAACATAAAAATCAATTTCAAATCGGGGCACATTTTGTGGTTTCTCTTTAACGTCAATGTCAAAATGTAAAAAACGTCCATGAAACCTTTATAAATACAAAGATTCCCTTTTAAAAACTTACTTTTCTTGACCACAGAGAACAGAATGCACCCGTGAAGTTTCTTCAAAGACGTCGCTGCCTTGGTCGGGTTTAAAACAAGCCAAGCGGCCGGCCGTGAAAAAACAAGGTTGAATTCCTCGAAAGACAATTTCATAACGAAACTCTGAACTGTTTCGTTGGTCCACAAAAAGAAAACCGAGCATTAGTTTGAGCGTTTTCTTTCCATTTGTGTCTTGTACCGTTGTATTTTCAATCTTGAAAAGCAAAACTTTGGTCTTGAAATCACCGCATGATGAATGCGCGCCAGCTATTTTGTTGATGGATGTCATTTACTAAGGGGTAGACCATTTGACTTATGAGGCAGGGTATGTTTGATTTAGTTTGGGTACGAATCTTTCCCCAAACCTCTGGAGTTAGAACTTTTTCCCCAACATATAACGGTGTAAGATTTTTTTTTCAGCATTATATGCCATGAGCGATATTTTCTTTCAGCGCAGGATATTTTTTGTCCAGATACTTAATTGCAAGATTTTTTCCCCTCAAAATCAGTCTGGGGGATATTTTTTCTGAAATGATCCATTACATCCTCAAAAGTCAAATGGTCGGCCCCTAAAATCCACCAAACATTTGCTCAGTTGACAGATCCTGATTGGTCAATCATTTCTAAAGCCTTTTCAAGCAATGGGGAACAAAACTCTCTAGGGGAAGAGCGGAGAAATTCGCTTTCTACTTACCCCCACCAGGAAGGAACGTGCAGGTGGTCGGCGTTCGGTCGTACGCTGACGTCATGACCAAATTTTCTCGGATCCATAGGTTTCCAGTTTTCTTTAGCAATGGGGCTGTGCTTGCGCGCGCGGAAGCTCCGCTGACAATAATAACTTTATTTGTGTCAAAGTACTTTAGCATATTTGGTAATTGAAGACACAGTAACAAAGCAAAAATAACAACAGTAAATATTAAATAAATACTAAGATTTCAAAAAGACTAATGCTATTCTATTATAAGGATATATTGGCTGGTTTATAGATGAAAAAGACCTAATATATATGTGTAAGCCTACCAGCATATATTTGGTGATAATTTATCCTGAACCGGTTATTTCGAACCCCCAACCTCGCCCCCTACCCCCTAATTCGAAATAGTTTCTGGTTCCCTTACAACTTCGAATCAACGGCTTTCAATGGTACGCAAACGATCAAGCAACTCTGATCTCAGGAGAAGAAGATCAATCAACAAACCTTTATTCTTCAGTAAGAGACTAACAATACAAGAATCTTTGTCTCTCGCGCTACACGGCTATACTAAATAAAGAGCTGGCTAAAAGATTAGGCGTGGGTTCACGTTTCTGTAGTGTTTGCTTCTCAGCTGCAGCATAGTGGCTAAAAAAAGGCTTCGAAGTTGTTATTAGATGGTATGGCATAGACCTTACTCCAAAATGATGGCTTTTGTTTTCATGATACTTGGTCCTCAATAACTGGTTTCACCTCCTCAAGCAATCTAAGATAGATTTATCACACCAATTCTACAAGAACTTCTCTGACTACCAATTAAGTACCTTGTCGAATTCCAAATTCTGCTCATTACCGTTTTTAAGCAGTACATGGCATAGCATCTGATTATATTGTAAACGTAACAGTCCCAGAGAATCTACCAGGTGTATGGACATTCAGATCATCAAAAGATTATGTTGGAGAAAAATACTTTCCACTCTTGGCGAAAGGGCATTTTCTTCAACTGCGCCAAAGCTATAGAACAATCTTCGGAGTGCCATATAAACAACCCCGACACTTAAGCAGTTCTGAAAAAGAATGATAACATTGACAAACAAAAATCACCCATAACGATCCGATTTTTTGAAGTCTTTACACTTGTTCTAGTCTACATTTCGTACGTGAGTTCTTCACGACCACGTCATGGCCATTTCAAAATGTCGGATCATTGTTCATTTTTTCTTTTCTAGGTTTGTGGAAATCTATATTGATGGTAATTTTAAGACATTATGAAAAAATACTTTAACGTGCTTTTAGTTGTAACTTTGATATTCTAGAAACAGTAAAAGGATGGTCGTTTAAAGTTCCAGCTCATTTTCTTTTGATGGCGCGTATCTTGTAGGGAACTGGAAATTGAGTGAGGTTGAAAATTCCCTCCAACTTTGGGAGACTACCATCTTCTTCAGCAAGGAAAGTGAACTTCTGAAGCATCCACGACAGGAACAAAAACAGCTCAACCTTCGCCAGAGGTTCCCCAGCACAAACCCGGCGTCCAGCTCCAAAAGGGAAGAAATTACCTTGATTGGTGATCAACTGTCCGTCTTGGTCAATGTGCCGGTAAGGGTTAAATAAGGTGGGATCTTCCCAGCATTTGGGATCCAAATGAACGGATTCTGTATCAACAAAGACTATGGTATCTCTAGGAACTCTGTATCCACAGATGGTTGTATCTGTGAGGGTGAGATGAGGAACTGCAAGTGGTACCACGTTTCCAACTCGTAAGGTTTCCATAATGGTCGCTTGGATGAGGGGCAGACGAGACCGGTGTTCCAAAGAAGGAGTCTGGTCACCAATTACTCCATCTAACTGTCGCTGAATGGCTTCTTGGTACTGTGGATAGTTGACCAAGAGTGCTAGCACCCATTTCATTGTTGTGCTTGTGGTTTCATAGCCTGCCGAAAACATATCTTCAATCGTGTTGGTAAAGTAGTCATCAGTGAGGAAGGCGGTTCTATCCTCATTGCTCTCACCCTCAGCCTCAAGTTTGGCGTGAAGGAGACCTGCGATCAAATCTTTTACAGGTTGCACTGGATCAAAAGTCTTTTTCCGTTCATTTAGAAATTTGCGAATTATGCTATGTATTTTAGGAAAGGGGCCCAGAAAACTATCGTAAGCCTTAATGGGTAAGTACTTTGCCAAGGGGAAAAAATCTAACATTCTCGCCAGTTGCGCATCAGCAACATTTGCCATCAAGTCTGAGTTTAGTTTCAAAAGCTTGTTCAAATCCGGATTGCTTGTGTCGTAACCTTCTCCAAAGGTGATGCCACAAATGACATCGGCCACAGCACGCATTAAGCAATCTGCAGGATCAAAGGGTTGTCCTTTGTGTTCCTCCATGAAGAGAACCAGTTTTTCGGCTTGTGTATTAACGCGCCTTTCAATCAGAGGGATGTCGGAGAGGTACTGGCGAAGAGCTGTTGTAAAGAGCTTGCGATGAAGCTTCCAGGCAGGTCCATAGTTACCAAAAATAATATCTTTACCTCCTGAAATTCAAAAATAGTGTAATCAACAGTCGTGTCCTTTTTCCTAGCATCCATACATCACTAAAAAGTAAAAAAAGACGTGATGTGAATAAAAACCGCTATGACTCGTCATACTTACTCAGTTATTTTTGCAATACTAAGCTTTCAGGGCTAATTACCAACGGTTGTTGCTGGAGAGATGAATTATCCTTAGCAAACGGTTGACAGTGTTAAGTATGAGATTGGATAGTATCTATACATATATATATATCTGCCAAGTGTCCCCGCCCTTTCTGAATTTTGTGGATTCGCTCCCGTGAATACAGAAGCTGTAAGGATATGGAGGAACATGGACAGTGACTTAATACAAGTACCTCTAAAAAATATTCAAGGTTACTTGAGAGAAGAACGCTCTAGAACAGTAGTTCAGTGCATCTCCTCATACGAACTACCATGTATCAAGCGCAGTCTTCAAATGCTAAATACATAGATTTAGCCAGGGCTAAAAGCGAAGCTCCCTTTAATATTTATAGTTTGCTCAAACAGAATGTAAAATCGTGTAACGCCAACGGCGAAGGCAACGAGAACGGTCAAAAACCAAAAATAGGTCTAATTAGCAAAAAAAACAACTTTGCACATGCAGCACACTTTGTTGTACATTTCTTTGCCGTTGTTTTGCACGACCAGAACGTAAAACTTCCAGAAGCTTCCTGGTTACACGTTTTATGGAGGAAATGTCGTCCATGTTGTTGTTCACTTTTTTGCCACCGTCGCTCATTTTCACCCAGGTGGCCGCTAGCATTTCTCATTTTCTCACCGCCGCTACAAAATTTAATGTTGATCCTCCAACAAAAAATGTCACCTTTGTTTTTTCTATCTCGCTCTAGCTCTTTTTCTCGTTCAGCTTCGCTGGCCTGTCGCCTCACTTTCTCTTTTTCTCTGTCTTTCTCTTTCTCTGTTTTCCAAATTTGTGGACATGACAATTAATCTTAACTTACTACTTTAGACAACAGGATGCAGAAACAATTTCCGCTTTCCGTTTTCGTCTTTATTGACTCTTAAGTTGTCTCTGCTTCACAAGACGCGGGCGACCATACGCTTTCCCGCCAAAATAACCTAACATTTGGCATTAGCTTACATGAAGTTGGCATACAGACAGTCGGCGTTCGTATGCTACGTCATAACCAAATATTCTTGCTTTCATAGGTTACCAATTTATTTTAGCAATGGGGCTCCGCCACGCGCGCTTCGCGCGCGGGAGCTCCGCTATAATGATGGCGGTATCTACGCCAGTTGGTTGCAGAGGGCAGTGACTAACTCGAAAGCCTAGGCTACTTTGCTCACTGTTCACATTTCACCTTTTATGATTTATGTAATTTGTTTTTCTATTTTTTCTTGCTTTTGTAATGTATTGTAATATTCCTAGTAAAGTTGAGTTTATCCGTGTTTTAATGGCAGCCGCTTGAGGAAAACAAGAGGTGAAAACACCAGAAAAGTATACATTGGCAAAACGGGAAGGTGCATGCATGATTAAGGAGCACGATAGGGATATACGCCTTTCACGAATACAAACTTCAGCCGTTTCTGAACACGCCCATAAGACCTGGCATTATCGGCTCTAGGAAGGGTTAAGTTTATTGACCGAGAGCATCAATGGTACTCTCGCAGAGTTAACGAGGTTATTCACATAAGGCCTCACCCTAACAACATCAATAGGGACACTGGAATTGAGATTCCTGAAGAGTGGATGCTGCGATCAGACAAAATAGCAGCCGATTGCTACCGCAGCGGACTGCTGAGGGAACAGTTTCCCCTCTAGTGATGCTGACAATGTTTTGGATCGAAATCCACCAACAATAAGCGAGGTTCATGACACACCAATCACTAACAACCATGGTGGTACAAACAATCCTACTCAGTATATCGACACTACATGCACACGCCTAATGGAGACCTACAGTACGCGGTCGAAACGTCGCGATTAAGATCTAGGTGACAATCTTGAGACAAACGATAAACGAAACCCTTTATCTATTTTAACCCATTCGCTCCGGGAATTCGACACACAGAACAGTTTATTTTGGGTCCCTCGGAAAGTAGTTAGTTTTGTTTTCCCTCGACGAAATAACGGGAGTCAAGGGAGAACAAAACTGCTTCCCTCGGGACTTGACATTATGTGTATAGTGTTACAACAACAAACTGAAACGTACCAGAAACTCATAAGGAGTTGAAACGTGTAACTCGTGTTCAATGCTCGTGAATATTCTTTTTTACCATATTTGGAAACCTTAGTGACAGATATCCATTTTCAACAAAATGGCTGCCGCGCGATCACCATGCAGATGTTTTAAGACAAGAGTTCTGCATTTCGGGGTTAAAAATACACCGTTAAAAGACAAAAAAAGGAAAGAGAAAGTCCAAAAGAATGCTCAGCTTTCTTTTTGTGCAGAAAGGGAAGCTTTTCATCAAGAAATCGTTCTTCGAGGAATTCGACCTTGTTTCCCTCACGACGGAGCGCTGGTCTGCTTTGAAATGCAACCAAGGCAGTGAAGTTTTTGCTGAATTTTCGGGTACATTTTGCACTCTATGGCCAAGAAAATTACGTTTTTGGAAGGGAATTTATGTATTTTTAAATGTTTCATAGACATTTTATAAATTTTTCTCTTCGGCGCTAAAGGAAAATTACAAAATGTGCCCCGATTTGAGATGGATTTTGTGTTTTCCGAATTGCTTTAAAGGATTAAATTTCGATTTTTAATAAAAAATTTTCAAGAAACGGCTTCTCTGTCTATTGTTTTGAGTTTGTTCATTAATAAAATTAGCTCAAAACACGATGGTGACTACAACATCCAAGCTGAATTTAAGCTTAAATGCATCTCACATTCATTACACGCATCACTTTTTGCAACGATGTCAGGTTCAGGTTTTGGACACTTTTCGATAAACAGCTAATGATTTTTTTCGAAAATATTTTTTACTGTTTATTCTAGACTTTTAATATAAGAATTTTAAAAGCCTATTTGCATTATAAGTTTACTGTGCAGAGGGTCAACGAGGCATCGTTTTTTGAAGTGACAACTTCAAGAAGTTGCGAGGACGTCAATGGGTTTCATAATGTTACGTTTGGCCCGGGTGGCAAGGCAATAATATCCTGCTCAGTGTTTCGGTAAGATTCCTGGTTTCAACCTTTGAGAGCTTTCTCGGCTTTCGGGAGTTTTTCCCCTCTTTGTAGGCCATTTTTTTAAGCGGCCGCGGGAACCTGAAGTAAAATTACGTCACGTTGTTTAGGAAATTTGATTGGTCAGTTATCTCTTCTTCTCGTTCCAAATATGGTACTTTCGAAAATGAATAATCACGAGCATCGGACAAAGCAAACATATGAGACTTACACGTTTCAACCCTTTATGAGTTTCTGTACGTACTGAATTGGTACATAGAAGATAAATCGCGCAAAATTACAATAACCTACCAAGGGATGCTTGCAATGTAGCGTGTTCTTGTTGTCTCCCAGCATAATCAGCAGACTTCTTTACGAGCACCTCTTTAACAGCATCAGGAGTTGAAGCCATAACGAACTTGTAACTTCCAACTTTCATAGAGAATACGCGGCCATAATTTCCTTTGAGACTGAAAAAAAAATTGAAACACTTAGATGTAAGATAATTCTTTTTTTTTTTCCAAATTTTACATTTGTTGAAAAAACACACTGGTATCCCCTACGGATCCTTCTGGAAGATCAACGCAAAAGAAATACCTTGAAGACTCTCTGTCACTACCCGTGAGGAATAAGACGCATTAATTATGTTAAAGGTCAAATTTGAATTCAGGTTAACAGAGATGATCATAAATTATGGTCGACACACGTTTGATCTGATCGTCCGGCCACAGCCTTCTCGAGCACAATATGAATCGCTAGAAAAGCTAGTTTTACCTCTGATGTAAACGGCTCTTGTAACGAGAACACTTTGATAGTACCTCTAAGAAATGTGATGCAGCCTGTTCATGTAGAAGATCACTTAAAATAAACCTTTAAATTGAACGGACGGCACTTTTTCATTAGATTGCACTAGATTTATCTCTAGAAAAACATTCGCGACCGTAAAATGAAAGGCCGAAACATAAGTTTTCTGTATCCAGTTCTGTGGCTAGATAGGAGTTCTGCTGATGTTTGTTGATCGAACAGTTAAAAAGTATTGGTATAACAATGCATTGTACAGAGACTACTACGCTATGCGTCGACCAAGCGAGCCAGAGCAAGCGACAGATACCGGACAGATACTACGGTGAGATATAAGAATTTCACAAGATTCTTTGCCAATGTACATAGCAACGTTATTTAATTCACTGGGAAAATGTTAACGAACTCCGAACAAATTATGGGTTGATTTCTTTCGTAAGAAAATGTAGAAGATCATGGATTGTGGGAGAAGTGAGCAATGTCAAGTTTACGTGTTTTGAGCGGTTAAGGTCAATTTAAGCTATCACTTTCCCAACTGTCGTTGGTATGAACTGTTCTGATACAGAACATGATGGCAGTGTAATATTCTTTGAAAAACAATGTCTGCATGCTTTGTATAGCTGTTCTGACATTTAGATGAATGACTGTGGCTGTAGAATATTTACAAGGCCAGACTGTTGCTCGATGACGGGTTGCAGATTTATTTATCGTTATCTTTATTGTACCTTGCGCGTTTGCAACGCCTGGATAACAAACCATATGTAAAAAGCAACTACATTTTGACTTTCTGTTGTTAAAAGCTGTTCTGCTGCTATACCTTGTTAGTTTTTCTACAGTTTTTGAACCTTGTCAATTTTTCTATAGTATTTTTATTAGTTGGTTATGGTGTTTTAGAAGACCGTGTATTATATTTGCGATGTCTCTTTTAATATAGTGAAGTTTTTACAGTCATAATGACAATAAAAGCCTGTTTTGCCATTTTAAATTTTTTCTCTTATTTACAATGGAAATTGATTTGCATTACTTTCTCTTAACTAACGAGTGCTATGCCATGACCGGTAATAAACATTGTTTCTCTTTTCGAAGCATCTCTGCAGCCATATTGCAGCCTAGATCGTGATTCGGGAAAGTTCTGTACCGCCGCAACGGCGCTGTTCACCACTGTCAAAACGCTTTCCATGACAGCGCTCAACAGCTCAAATTTGCAACTGCCGCTGCCTAGCCATTTTACAGCTCATTTACAGCGGTTCTTGAAGTCATTCTGCAGCGCTGCAACAGAGGGATTAAATGTTTCGTACAGGTTTCGTAAGTTTCGTAAGGGTTTTAGTTTACACCACAATAAAAAGGTATGCATGTTAAAGCTAGCTGTGAACTTTCAAAGTTTATCGAAACTAACATCAATCGTGCTTTTTGAATAGGCGGAGACACAGCAATCTGGAGAGACATACTGTAACACTCGATCACGCACAAATTTAATGATACTGATAAAAGCAAAAGCAAAAACTCCGGGCCACATTCAGAACAAATGTAGGCTCTAGGATGCTAAGTCATCAAACCTTGAAGTAGTAAGTAACTTGCCTTAGTACTCTATTTCTCTCAAGTTGTCATTTGAAGCTCCCGTTGAAGCTTTGCGATCTCAAAGCTTCGCCGCTTATTTACCCTCTTGCCAATGAGGCTATGAGATGAACTTGTGTACGAGTTCTCAAGGTTCCTGTTTTCGTCGGACAGTTCCTCTTTATCCTAATCCGAAATTTAGACCTCCAAAAGGCGTGTGTTGCATTAAACAGAAAGAAATAAGTCTTTGTACAGACTCTGCGAAGATGGACAAACATGCTTTATGCTTTATTCAATGACATGTAACGTAATAATATTTCATGATCGGCGAATGTACAGTAGAGTTCGCTGTTCTTTACACACTTTTAAAAACTACTAATAAAACAGCCGCTAACATCGGTGAATGTAGAGCTCACTGTGTCTTCATGACGATATAAAAAAACTAAACATAAAAGGGCGGCAGTAAATGTGATGTAGTAAGTGGAAATTCTAAATCCTCAAGCTTGGCGGTCTGTTTCAAGAAATCATCGACGAAAAAAAAAAGACCACAAATATTTTACCTTTGAAAAGCATCGTTAAGTTTCTTCGCCTTGAGGTCGAGAGAAAGGACGTTTCCTAATATGGGTAGAGACGTGAAGCGAGGACCCGGAGGCATGTTTCTGAATTCGTAGAGGATCATCAGGTAATGTAAAATGAACAGTAGAAGCAACAAAAGGAGAATATTTCCGAGGCTTAGGAAATTAGAAATCATGGAGAGAATTGACTCCATCTTACGAACAATTGTGTTCGGTGACTGACTCAAAATAAACCCTGTAAATCGATATGCTCTCTTAAGTACACAAAAGTGACGCAATTTTTAGAAAGAGACTATCAGAAACCAGTGACCCAATAAACACAGATATTACACCATCAAGCATGACTGTGCATGTTTAATCTAAATACATCAAGTCACGCAACTTTGTTAGACAACATTGGTCGGTCACCAATAGGACCCTCATTCCCAACCCATAAAAAACACAATTCCCTTTCAAAGACCTTTGGACATCCTGAAAGATGCTCAAAGGTTAAATATGGGGCCATCAGGCTGCGGGGTCCAATTGTATGAGACAAAGTAAACGGCTAATCTGTGTGACTGATCCTCGGATCTTAGCTGATAGGACCACCAACGTTGAGTATTTTGTTTGTGGGATGAGATGGATGTGTCAAAAAACTGTTTATTTCATCGCACTAACTTCCATGTAATATAGTTTAAATCAGCTTCTCACTGAGTAGCCATTATTCTCACAACTTCTTTCACTCAACAATACGGTGACACGATTATTGTTAAAAATGAAGTATATAGACTAAAAAATTAACAAAAAACCTAACATCAACGCCATCATCAGGGCTCGGTATCACCTTCAAGTAAAATAATGATATCTAGCTTTCGGTGTGACAATACACATGCTCATTACTTAAACAACTCTGGTTGTTTTGATAAAATATGCTACCTAAGGCTTCAACAGCTTGTATTCCTTTCAGTCTAAGAATATTATGATTGCTTTTTTTAAAATATATTCGAGGGGCTATATATGCTCTGAACATGAACTACGCCATTTATTGATCCCTCAAAGCAATCTAACCGTTAAAAGGGAAAGAAGAGGATCAAACGCGTAAGTTGAAATTGGTGCATATTTAGCGTCCGCCTCTTCACTAAGCATAAGCTCTATTCGATCAAAAATTTCAAATCGTATTGTACATTGAAAACAAAGGAGCTTAATCGGGTTTTGGCAATTCTAGCGACAAGCAAAGCTGGATTGAAAATGTCCATATAAGTGGAAAGTTAGCCAGGATGGTGATTTCTATTGTGAAAATATCAATTTTTAGCTGTCGTTACTTCGCATATTAACCCAGCTTCGAATATTAGCGGACCCGGGCCCATTGTACCGTGCCCAGGTGATTATTTAAAATTCGCTGTGGCTATATGGCCGGTAACCGGTCAAGGTTTTCAAAACACTAAATGGCCGGCAGTCCTATATTATCAGTAAATTTCACAAAATCGAAAGATTCCAGCTAATCTAAACCATCATATGTCGATTTAGAAAAGTCAAGCGATCCTGAAATGCTTTACAGATCTCAAGTCTAGTGTTTGGTTTACGCTGGGCTCGGAAGACGAAACCGTGTTTTGTGACACTTAGAACTTTTTCAGCTCGACTGCCGGTCAAGGTTTTCAAAACACTAAATGGCCGGCAGTCCCATATTCTCAGTAAATTTCACAAATCGAAAAAATTCTTCCGTTCTGAACTATCATAAGTCGTGATCCTGATCAAAGTCTCTACGCGTTAGTTCCCTTCTGGAGCTGAAATACACTTCAACAATATCTTGTTGTCGACGTCATGATTAAACAAGCTCGATATGGATCATGATAGTTCAGAACGGCTGAATTTTTTCGATTTGTGAAATTTACTGAGAATATGGGACTGCCGGCCATTTAGTGTTTTGAAAACCTTGACCGGCAGTCGAGCTGAAAAGTGTCACAAAACATGGTTCAGCATAAACCAAACACTAGACTCGAGATAGCATTTCAGGATCGCTTGACTTTTCTAAATCGACATATGATAGTTTAGATTAGCTAGAATCTTTCGATTTTGTGAAATTTACTGATAATATAGGACTGCCGGCCATTTAGTGTTTTGAAAACCTTGACCGGCAGTCGAGCTGAAAAAATTTTTAAGTGTCACAAAACATGATTTCCTCCTCTGAACCCAGCGCAAACCAAACACTAAACTTGAGATCTGTAAAGCATTTCAGGATCGCTTGACTTTTCTAAATCGACATCTGATAGTTTAGATTAGCTAGAATCTTTCGATTTTGTGAAATTTACTGATAATTGCTGGTTTGAACGTGACGTCACGGCGGTCATGTTGGTGGTCAAGAACAAAAGCATTTCTCTCCTCTGGGAACTAAACTCTATTTTCATGTAAATTCTTCGAGGAAATATTCTTTTGTTTTGACCCCCAACATGGCCGCCTTGTCACGTGGTTGCAAACCAAGAATATAGGACTGCCGGCCATTTAGTGTTTTGAAAACCTTGACCGGTTACCGGCCATATAGCCACAGCGTTTAAAATTACAGCTAAAAGCTAATGTGAGCTTAAACACTTATCACATAACTGCATCGGTATACTTTACGTGTTTATAAAGTATCGATTATCTTATTATCCTCGTCATGATATGATATGATATGCAGATGATAAGGTGATACTCGGTAAAGAAATATCAAAAAGTGTCAAATGTTTTTAAAAATCACAAACGTTTCGGGTTCATGACCCTTCTTTCAGTGTGAGATAAAAAGACCGTTTTTTCTCACACCGAGAGAGAGTTTTTCTTTTATGATACCTTTGTGATATTTTCAAACAAGCCACAATGTTAAACGCATGCGGTCAAATTGGTTTGTTTTGATCTTAGGCCAATCATATTGGTGGTAATCATATAGACAAATTGTCAATGGCAGGGACTGTTAGTTTGCGTACGCATTGTTTTCAATTACTTTTTTCTTAGCAATACGTTTTTTTTTGGGGGGTGGGAGAGGAAAGGGGTAGGACAAAGTGTATTATGATTAACGTAAAAGTTAACCTGCGATCGGGAGGTGATCGCCGGTTATGCAAAACTGTTTAATTCACCTTATTATTCATTAAAAAATTTTTGCCGCATCTGATTGGAAGAATGAAGAAACACGAATGAAGAAACCGAGAAAACGTGGGCGAGTTCACCAAAGCCAACAAAATGGCGTTTTCGCTCGAGTAGCTGTAGTCCGTCTCATCGAAAAAGAAATTGTCAAAACGGAAGAAGTCCTTACAAGTTCTACCCGGCTCAACAAGGTGAAAATCTTGTGCACCTCAGAGGATGGCTCCCTCTGATTAAACAAATTGCAGAAGAGATTGGAATGGACTATGTGGAGAAGAGAAGTCCGACGAAGTCCAAACTTGACGATTGCGATGTAAACAAGATCATATCCCCTGTGCGACTTATTTGTGATGCGATGGGATTTTACCATCTGGAAGTATTTTTGGTTCTGAAAGAGAAAGGACATTTTAAGTCAGAAGATTATGCGAGAAATTTGATTTCTGTTCGGACCGAATTCTAATTTTGTGGTTTGTGGAGGCATCGTAGATTTTGGTGAAAGTGGAAACCGTCTGGGCTACGACCCAAAACATCTGCGAAAGTGGGAAATGCCTTTTAAGCGGGTGGACAGTGACATGTGTGAGCTGTTACACGAACCGAAGAACCGTGCAAGAAACGAAGCGACGTGCAGGCGATGTTCTATATAATGTATGCAAACCGTGCAAGAAGTGCGTTTGAAATTTTTTGTTTGTTCAGTTATTGTAACTATAGTTTGTCTGTGTGTTCATAATAAATTAAGTACACTAGCTTTTTTAATGATGAAATTTTAATGTACCATAGTTATAACCTGTTATAACGATTTATCTCAATGTGGTGTTGTGTTATTGTAAAACTTCAGCGACTTCAATTGTTATTTTATTAGAGGTGGAAGGGCTGATGCAGATTGATAGAGGGGGTCACTAATCTTTATGCAGGCAAAAATTGAGGCCACATATATTTATGGCTTCCCTCCATTTTTTCTTCCCCCTCTCCTATCTCTAAATAATGACTGGTCCTCAAAAAATAAAATAAAAATGAGGACAAAACCAATTAATTAACAAGAACCTACATGAAAGTAAGAAATGGTATAAAAATAATAAATCAAATAATAGCTGTCCCTTGACTAATCACCTTCCTCAATTAGTCGCCTCCCTCCCTCAAATAATCCCCCCCCCCCATAGATGGAAATATAAATAATCACCTCCCTCAAATAATCACTCACCCCACCCCTTTCACCATCTTCTCTTTCATTTATCCCAGCCTCCCTGTCAATTTGAAGTGAAGTCTGATCCAGCAAAACTGATCAGTGGTGATTCATGGAAAATTAACCAAGGAACTTTTTTGAAATTTTGAACACTCAATGAGGAAGGAGGAGCCATAAGATTATAGTTATTGTTTCATTTATTTATATTTTTATATTTATTAAAGGCTTAAAGATCTGAATAGTAGCCCACGTACCAAGCCAACGTCCAGGTGCAACTGGAAGTAACTAAGCCCTATGTCAAAAAAAAGAGAAGGAATGCCATTTCAGTTAACAAGCGGAAACTAGAGAGGGAAGTTAGAAAGTTAAAGTCCTACAACTGCAAACTTAGTGACAAGCAGGACCAGGAGATGAGAAAAATTGTAAATGTCATAGAAAATGACTTCCGTCCTGAATTGCAGCGTGTTATTAATGATTCATCAGATGAAGGCAGTGGGAAAGCAGATGTTCTGCGAGCTGTGTGGGAGCAAGACCTAAAAGACAGGAGGGAGTTTTGGACTGATCAAAGGAGAAACAGTGAGCAAACAGTTAATATTGGAACAAATAACAGAAATCCCCATTTAACCACTCACAGAAAATGATAAAACTTAATATACAAGTTGAAAATCGTAACTCTTTTCACTTAATAATATTCAATAATAAAAGGATTAAATTTAGATACCAGTGAATTATGATCCTCTCCGTGAACATTAAAAAAGCTAAGCAGTATGAAACTATGAATTATTTCATTATACATTTATCAACTCAAGGGTTAAATTTATTCTGTCATTTTGTGCATTAAGGGCAATACACATTGCTGTACTGTATCATCAATTAACAGAAATGAAAAATATTTATAAATAGACTTTATACTCCATCATGGGAAACTTCATAGCAGTCATTAAAAACTAATAGGAATTTTTGTACAATGTTCTTGTGTAGGAAATGGTGTGCATGGAAATAGATGGAGTACAATTACCTATCGTATGGCTCCGGCAGTATTTTGTAGAAGCCCGGCAGCCTATGAGGCTTTGGCAGGTTTTGACATATTACAGCTACCATCAGTGGATTCATTAAGACAACTACGGTCGGGGTACTTCCAGACTGATGGCCCCAATTGGGAAAACCTGGAAGAAGCTGCCCAAGATTACAAATCCCTTCGAGAGGAAAAGAGAGTACAAGGGTTACTACAACCGCAAGGCTGGGGTGCGTTGATTGGGGATGAGGTGAAAGTGGTGACAAAAATTCAGTGGAACTCCAAAATTAATGAGTGCGTTTATTTATGCATGGTTTAATTCATTTAATTTATGTACCTTTTTGGTCAGTTTCCTTTTTTGGCATCCATGAATTTCCTGAATTTTGAAAATTATAGTAAAAAGATTAACAATTTATTGATTTCGTCTAACTTTTGACCGAAAGTGAGTTAGTGAATACCTTAAAAAGTATAGACTTTACAAGCGAGTTCGATGTCACTGGCCCTTACTACAAGAGCGAAGTGGGAATGAAGCATCAGTTTGTGATGACGTGCATACTTACACCATCCATGCATTTCATCTCTACGGATTCGAGGTGATGGCCATTGTACTAGATGGTGCTAGCACAAACTTGGCTGCAATGAAGTACTTTACCATGGGTAAGGCTGGTGCATATGGTATGAATGAGGACCCAGCTGTGTCAGAAAACCTCATCATGTAAAAACATGGTGGATAAATCCATTCACTGGCACCAAGATATTTTTTGTGCCATGTACATCCCATGAGGTAACAGTTGCAATAATAATTTGAAACTGCATGTTGTAATAATCAGGGTGCAAAGAAGGTCAGTTTTACAGCCTGCCATTTGGGCAAGCTGTAGCTAGCATATACTAGCCCACAAGTCATTTCATCTGGCCCCCAAACCCTTTTTGATTAGCAGGATTGATTACAATCCTTTTGTAATTTGAATTTCCAAAAAAAAGCAGCACTTTGCCCGTCGGGCAAGTTAAGAACAAAAATCACTAGCCCAATAGCAAAATCCACTAGCCCATGGCTATCAGACACGACTTTCTTTGCAAGCTGATAATAATGTACTGTATGTAGCATTTTTCAATGCATTTTTTAAATAAATTGCCAGCCAGTTATTTAGCCAGCAAAACTAAACACATGAAGACAGTAATTGAACACATAATTGACCAGCTCCCAACATCAGTGGCTTCATATATTTGTTTGTGATAGGGTAAAGTTTAATTACTCCATTTTTTAGTGTTACTGTATTTGAAAGCAGTTATTTCCTGTAAACCCTCATAACATATTTCCAAGCCATTGCCAAATCTTTAACATTTTTAAGGATGTTATCCTTGTACATGTATATATACAGTTGTGGTACAACTACATTTTGTGTAAATATGGGAACAATCCAAAAGAAGAAAAATGTACAAAGCAACCATTCAAAAAAAATCACCAGCCTTCTGATAAGTGTCTCTAATATTCACAGCTGAAAAGCATTATTGCGGCATTGTATTCTTCAAAGCCAACTGGAAAAAAGCACTTTAACTTGTGGGGTCTCAACTTTGGTTGGAGACAGATCATTGGAGTATGCAATCGAGAACTGGATAGGGCGCGAAAGAACAGAATGCTGAGAGTTCCAGAGCCGAAGTACCGGTATGTTTTCAGGGATTCTTGGACACGACTTAATGTCAGACCTGCCAAAGTTATGCAGGTAAGCCGCTATAATGTGTTTCAAATACATCTGGACAGCACAGTCCTAAATACCATTGTTAAGTTAATAATTTGACCACTTTATCTCATCAAATAAAATAATATTAAACTTGGCAGGAACATTTAAGTTTACATTTTAGCTCCAACTTTTTCCTAGTGTTCAGTATGATTACCCAGCTCTCACAAGATTAAAATTTAATGTTGTGATTTAAATTATCTTTGGTTCAAATTTTATTTTCCATTGTTTTTGGGTAGGGTTATTTATGATAATAAATTGTAAACAAAGGAAAATAAAATTTAAACCAAAGATAAAATTGAATAAAATTGAACATTTTGTTTATGCTGTATTGAGCTGTTTTCGAAATCACTTATTTCCATTTTATTTATCAGCAAGACCATCTGATTGGAGAACTAAAGGAGTATCAAGCAAAAGGCCCTGCTGATGCTGACAAGGTTTCTATGACCGTGGAGTACCTGGAAGCTGCCCAGTCATTATTTGAATTTGGTGTACTCAGCCATACAAAGATATCTGACATCAACAGTGCTGTTCTTCAGAAGATGGAGGAAGGATTTCTGTTTTTTGTAGCCTGGGCAGACTACTGCAATGGTGAAGGTAGAAAATTGCTTATCCCTGTTCACATTTAGTCAGTAATTTTTGTATAGCTGTACAGAGTCCAATGTGTACCAATAAAAACACTTTCAGAGTAATACTTAATTAAACAGTATACACCTGTTGTACCAGTGGCATTATTGCTGTCTTGAAAATGAAATGCAACATGATTAATTGGTGACATCAACTGATTTCCTGTTCTCTGGAGGAGCTAGGAGGTACCAAAATAAGAAAAAGTGAACATTCAAGTGAATGTAGAAACCAGTACATCTTAGGGCCCTAGACTTTAATCAGTCATGGTCACTTTGTGATTTTGGTTTTGACTGCAAACTTTGGTCAATTCTGAAGATCAATTCAAAATTACCCTCATTGGAGATACTTTTTTTTTCAAAACAGGTTACGACCTTTCAGTCCCCACACAGACAGTCTTTTTGTCATGGCAAGTAAGTATGTTTCTTTTTTTTGGCTATTTCAAGATGTACTGTTTTATAGTATCTCTCCTGAAAAGTGAATATTAATTACTTGCCTTGCAGACATGGGACCTGCTGAGATTGATGTACTATGGTTTTTCTGAACTTTGCCATGAGTTCTTTGATCGGTTTCCAGGGCATTACCTTATTCCACTAAGGATTAATGGCAGTGGATTAGAAACAATCTTCTCTCAGCTACGATTTTCAACTGCCGGAAATTTAACCAGCTGTAATTATGGCTATGCCCTTTCCTCGTTGACTCTGAGAAGGTTCCTTCATGGTCACCGTGGGAAATACAAGTACCGGAAAGCAAGACTGTATGTGAGGCAGAGACGCTTCCACACTGCAAAGCAGTTCCAAAGGTCATTTTCCATTTTCCATTTCTCCCACGTATTATTTTCTACTTTCAAGTTCTTTGTTAATTTTGTTTTAGTTATTATCGTGGTAGTGATTTTTGTTTCTTTCTAACAGTAGCGCTGCACAAAGTGACAGAGAGATGGTAATAGGTAAATAAAATGTTTTTGTGATTTCAAATCATCCATGCATTACTTTTGCAATGTGTGCTTGTTACCGAAAATCAAAACCAGCAGGTGCAAAGATGCAACAACTCGTTTATCCCGCACCATGCTGCTAAGATTGGGATATAGAGCTGTTTTTAATATTGTGATAACTTATTAGTTATGTTCTTATTGTTAAGAATAATTCAATTTAATGACTGAAAGTTTTTTGTCTAATAAACAATTTTCTTCTTTTTTCTTCTTTTGCTGAGTCAGAAAATATATATATATTTTTTATTTATTTATTTTTGCCTTACAGACATATATTAAATGTTTACAGTACTAAACACTACTGAAACTAAATACTACTAACAATATTCACTATACTTGCACTATTTACAATATTGGCTATACTGACAATACCATCCATACGATGCTCGTACTACTAATAATTACAATGGTTACACTACTTACAATTCTAGTACATCACACACACACACACACCCCCACATAAACACACACACACAAAAAAAAAAAAAAAAAAAAAAAAAAGGTCGGAGGAGTTACTTTTCATGTCTATTTTATAGATTTTCAATTCTGTATTTAATTATCATTTTACCAACGAAGTCTTGGAGGAGAATTGGTTTGTTGTGTAGTTTGTTGGCGTAGATGTAGTATCTCATAAACAACATGGTATAATTGAATTTCCTTACTAGTACCTTTTCATGTAAGTCCGAGAGGATGCCGAACAGTCTTTCTTCGCTAGATGGGTTGAGATTGATCTTGTTTTCTATATTGAACCAGTTGATAACCCGTTGAATGAAAATCTTGACGAAATGACAATCTCTAAAAGTATGATTAATACAGTCTTTTTCACCACAATATATACATTCATCATCTTCCTTGATTCCATAGCGGTAAAGTTCCTTTTTGGTGACTACAATTCGGTGGATTAATTTATATTGAAATTCCTTTAATTTGGTCTCTACAGACGGTTTTTAGGGAGGTGAATATTTTTTCCCATTTATCTTCATCCAAGGAAAGATCTTTGCTCCATCTCTGTGGCCCAGAATGACCTGTTGTGTGGATTTTTGTGCATAATAACGTATAGAAGTCGCTAGTCTTGATTTTGTTCAGATATAGAGTTATCGATTCATTTAATTGTAGACTAAGATTATTATCAGAATATAACTCTTTATTAATTGGCTTCGTTGATTTTGCTTTTGGCTAATAGGTGCTTTGGGATAGCGCTAATAACTTGATAGTATTGAAGGAAGTTAGTTTTACAGGAATACTTATTCGTAAATTCCTGATAGGTCATCGGTTGACCGGTATTGTTTAAGAGATCTTGTATTGACAGGATACCTTTTTAAACCATTCCCTGATAAAAAGGTTTTACTGTCAACAAGTATTTTTTTGTTGTTGAATAGAATTATATTTTGTGCTTGATCAAAGCTGTACAGAGTTTTTAATTCACTGAAGTATACTAGAATATTTCGGTAAAACAATGGAATAGATTTTATGTATTTCGCATCATAGTTACATCTCAGTAAAAAGTTCAAACCTCCGAATTTTCTTAGGTAATAATCAGGAACTGTTTTCCAATTCTGGTTCCCTGGAGTCAGTAATCTTGGAATCCAGGCTAGTTTTAGAGCTTTAAACATTATGTCGATGTCTACCATACGTATTCCGCCTCTTCCCAGATCCTGATAGAGCCCAGTTCGTTTAATTTTATCCCTCTTGTTTTTCCATAAGAAACTAAAAAACTTTGTTTTCACTGTGCTTGCGATATCTTCGGGAACATTAAGAATTGAAGCTGAATAAATTAATTGTGACAATCCTAGGGACTTAATTATCAGTACCTTCCCAAATAGTGTGAGGTCTCTAGATCTCCACATATCCAGCTTTGTTTGAAGTTTTCGTATTTTCAGATTAAAGTTCAATTCATTGTTACCCTTCTCATCATAAGAGACATGAATTCCTAAGAGGCGAGTCGGACTATGTAACCATTTTAGTTGTAAAGGATAACTTTTGTTTTTTTCCCATTTTCCCAACCAAATTGCTTTCGATTTCTTTATGTTTAACTTGAGACCCGCTAGCCTCCCAAAATCTCCCACCGTTTTCAAAGCATTTTCAACGGAGATCAAATCTGCACAGAAAAGGTTTGTGTCGTCCGCGAATTGGCTCAATTTGATTTCGTGCCCGAATATTTTGATTCCTGTTATACTTGGTTCTTGTCTGATTTTGCTGGATAATATCTCCGTGGAAAGCACAAATAAGTACGGAGAAAGGGGACACCCCTGTCGCACTCCTCTTGACGGTCTAAACCAGTTGGTCATGAAACCATTGTTTATCGCCGCGCTCTCAATTTTTGTATAGAATGTACTGATCCATCTTTTTATACTTGTTCCAAAATTGAATATATCCAGTGCTTTCATCATGAACGACCATTCTAGAGAATCAAAAGCTTTCCGAAAATCTAGAGATACTAGAATGCCAGGTATGCTTTCTGACTTCGTATGTTCCATTATGTCGATTATTAGCCTAATATTTTCCCCGATATATCTTCCTTTGATAAAACCGGTTTGATCAGTGTGCACTAGATTTGGTAATAATGGTTGAGTCAGAAAATATGGCCCCTCCAGCAGCATGTCAGGAAAAAGAAGACTCTTTGTCAACTACACCTAGAACATCTGCTACCTCTTCTTATGAACACTGCATAGGAAGAGACCAACCTAGCCCAGCTGTACCTGGAACATCCCATGGCTCTTCTGATTTATTTCATGCACAGTATGACAACTATGTTGACCTCATCGATGAAGATCAAGACGCAGATTTCCTTGCTGCCATAGAGGCAAGCTTGTTAGATCAACAGACAGCCACCTCAAGTAATGCAAGTGACACTGACCAACAAGCAAGGGAAAACCAGTCTCTAAATGCCATCCTGGCATCCTTCCAAGCTGACACGTTTCAGCAGCATCCTGAAGCAGATGAAACTGTCAGTATTATTATCAGTCGGAAATCTGTTTTGCAATCGACTCTCAGAGTAGCCTGCGTGCAGACGATAACTAAACTCTGATTAGTACCGTCTGCGAAGCAGCGCAGAGATCCTTGTTCAGGACCCCCAACGGACTCAACGAATTACCGGAAGTGCGTTTCGAATTCCCCTTCAACCTTATTGGCGATCACGACAAACAAAACAAATGCCTTTTTTAACTGGCCAATCGTGGCGCGTACTCAAATCTGGGTACACAGCTGGAAGTCCAGAACAAGGATTTCGGCGCTGTGTCGCAGACGGAGTTAACCAGAGTTTAATTTCGTCTGCGCGCAGGCTACTCTCAGAGCCATTGAGAGAAAAACCTTCTCCTTTTTCAAACCTGTCATTGTAACGTTTGCTGGTGAGGAGGCTGTTGATGCTGGAGGGCCAAAGCGAGAGTTCTTTCGCCTGCTCATGTCCTGTATTCGGGAATCTGCAGCTTTCAGTGGTTCATGGTTTTCTCATGATCTTAATCAGCTGAGCAGCCAGAAGTACACTTTATATGGTAAATTAGTTGCTTGGAGTGTCTTGCAAGGTGGTACTGGTCCCAGATGCTTGTCATCAGAGGGCTACAAGATATACAGGGGTGCAACCTTTGACCAAGCTTTAGCTATTGAGGATGTCGCTGATGTACAGATGAAGGAGATATTGAGAGCTACTGCAAAATGTTGCTCGAAAGAAGAGTTTGATGGAGTCATCACCAAGCACGCAGATCAGATTGCTTAGTATGGCTACCCAAACATATACACTGCCAAGTTGGCCCAGAAGAAAGAGGTGGTGGACTGTTTGCTGAGGCAAAACTTTGTTTATGGTGTTCATGCAGAATTTTCTCAATTCATGGAAGGGATGGACACCATTGGCAACTTTGGATTTATAGTCAAGGAAAACCAATCGGTTTTTGATGCCATTTTGAGTAGCAAACATGATAAGCTTACCTTGGGAGCTTTTTCGTCCCTACATGAATTAGACCGATCTGAGAAAGGATCAAACAACAGAAGTCGTGAGGATTCCACGATTTATTGTTTTGAGCTCTTCCTCAAGGACCTTGAAGAAGGTGAAGCAGATGGTTTAACACTTGAGGACCTCCTTGTGTTTATCACTGGAGCGGATTCTGTTCCTCCCCTAGGTTTTCAGCAGTTGATTTCTGTGCAGTTTTACGACTTCACTGGAAATGTCCACCGTGGTCCCTGGTCATCAACATGTGCCCTAACTTTGCATTTGCCAAGGGGTGTTGAAGACCCACAAGAGTTCAACAAGCTCATGAAAGAGTCTCTTCTTGAATGTCATGGCTTTGGCAAAATGTGAACGTTCCGAGTGCCTGATACCTCGTTTTTAGTAAGGTATTCTTCAGTTTTTTGCCGAAACTTTATTTCCTGTTGAGCATCTTTTTTTCAACTTTTTACTTGTTCTTGGTTGATGTTGAAGTGACTGTCATGATGAAACAAAGAATTTTTCTTTGATTAGCTATTCAATTTTCTTGGACTCAAGTTCAAAAGTGTCACAAAACATGGTTCAGCGTAAACCAAACACTAGACTCGAGATAGCATTTCAGGATCGCTTGACTTTTCTAAATCGACATATGATAGTTTAGATTAGCTAGAATCTTTCGATTTTGTGAAATTTACTGATAATATAGGACTGCCGGCCATTTAGTGTTTTGAAAACCTTGACCGGCAGTCGAGCTGAAAAAATTTCTAAGTGTCACAAAACATGATTTCCTCCTCTAAGCCCAGCGCAAACCAAACACTAGACTTGAGATCTGTAAAGCATTTCAGGATCGCTTGACTTTTCTAAATCGACATATGATAGTTTAGATTAGCTAGAATCTTTCGATTTTGTGAAATTTACTGATAATATAGGACTGCCGGCCATTTAGTGTTTTGAAAACCTTGACCGGTTACCGGCCATATAGCCACAGCGTTTAAAATTACAGCTAAAAGCTAATGTGAGCTTAAACACTTATCACATAACTGCATCGGTATACTTTACGTGTTTATAAAGTATCGATTATCTTATTATCCTCGTCATGATATGATATGCAGATGATAAGGTGATACTCGGTAAAGAAATATCAAAAAGTGTCAAATGTTTTTAAAAATCACAAACGTTTCGGGTTCATGACCCTTCTTTCAGTGTGAGATAAAAAGACCGTTTTTTCTCACACCGAGAGAGAGTTTTTCTTTTATGATACCTTTGTGATATTTTCAAACAAGGCACAATGTTAAACCCATTCGGTCAAATTGGTTTGTTTTGATCTTAGGCCAATCATATTGGTGGTAATCATACAGACAAATTGTCAATGGCAGGGACTGTTCGTTTGAGTACGCATTGTTTTCAATTACTTTTTTCTTAGTATGAAAGCAATACGTTTTTTTTTTGGGGTGGGAGAGGAAAGGGGTAGGACAAAGTGTATTATGATTAATGTAAAAGTTAACCTGCAATCGGGGGGTGATCGCCGGTTATGCAAAACTGTTTAATTCACCTTATTATTAATTTTTTGCCGCATCTGATTGGAAGAATGAAGAAACACGAATGAAGAAACCGAGAAAACGTGGGCGAGTTCACCGAAGCCAACAAAATGGCGTTTTCGCTCGAGTAGCTGTAGTCCGTTTCATCGAAAAAGAAATTGTCAAAACGGAAGAAGTCCTTACAAGTTCTACCCGGCTCAACAAGGTGAAAATCTTGTGCACCTCAGAGGATGGCTCCCTCTGATTAAACAAATTGCAGAAGAGATTGGAATGGACTATGTGGAGAAGAGAAGTCCGACGAAGGTGTGGCATCGTTTCCAAACTTGACGATTGCGATGTAAACAAGATCATATCCCCTGTGCGACTTATTTGTGATGCGATGGGATTTTACCATCTGGAAGTATTTTTGGTTCTGAAAGAGAAAGGACATTTTAAGTCAGAAGATTATGCGAGAAATTTGATTCTCAAACTGCTCGGACCGAATTCTAATTTTGTGGTTTGTGGAGGCATCGTAGATTTCGGTGAAAGTGGAAACCGTCTGGGCTACGACCCAAAACATCTGCGAAAGTGGGAAATGCCTTTTAAGCGAGTTTCCATTGGCTTGCCGGCTGGCCACTCCCTCAAGGCTAGGATATGCATCAACTGCCACCGAGTGTGACACTCTAGCTAGGCGCTCATAGCAACTGAATATAAGAGGCCCATCCCCTTCTAGATAGTAGGTAGCTGTGACAAAGTGTGATCCTCCATCAATCAGTGCTGCTAGCTCCAACTCGAGTTCTTTAGCATCAGATGCATCATTAAAGATGTCCAAGAGTTGTCCAGTTGTAACAGGAGCAAGATGGTTGTTCTCGTTCTCCCTTAAAAAGGGTTCCACATCCCCAAAGTACTCTAGTACTTGTTTCATAACTTCCCACTTGCTCCACCATCTTGTTGCGTTATATGTTTTCATAGCTGTTCCGGTTCTAGTCTTCCAAGCTAGCCATACTGCAGCACTGTGGGAGAACATGGATACCCATAATTGGGAAAATCGGTCTAAAACACGGAACTCAAAATGTTTTCCAACGTTGTCGATGGTGTGAGAGAAACACGTAATGTCTAGCAGCTGAGGAAAAAAGAACTTAACCTGCTCCAAAGCAGCATGATTGACCGCAGCTCCGTCTTTCAT